AACAAACTCAATGAATACTTTTACATATTGCTATTTTAATCCCCACATCATTAATTTCTGTATTAATATTTATCACCTCCTACGATTGACTGATTCTTCTTTGATCTGATGACTTCATTAGATATTGGGCTCATCATTAAGTGCTTATTTGAGATCTCTGAATTTGGTCATTTACTTGAGGTCTTTCTGGTTTTTAATGTAGCCATTCAAAGCCATAAACTTTCCTCTCAGTATCACATAGCTGCCACCCAAAGATTCAGGGAAGTTGTCCTCTCATTTTCATTTGATTCTAGGTATTGGTTGTTTTTCCCTTTGACTTCTTCAATAAATTAATGGTTATTCAAGAGGCTACTGTGAAATGTTCAAATAATTATTTAGTTCTTATAATTATTTTCTGTGATTCTAGTGTCAATTTAGATTCTCTTATTTGATTTGAGACTTACATTGTGGCTTAAAATGAAATCTGTTTTTTTTTTTTTATAGAAGGTTGATGGGATGCTATTAAAGATATATAATAGCCGGGTGGTGGTGGCACATGCCTTTAATCCCAGGACTCGGTAGGCAGAGGCAGGTGGATCTCTGTGAGTTCGAGACCAGCCTGGTCTACAAGAGCTAGTTCCAGGACAGGCTCCAAAACAACAGAGAAACCCTGTCTCGGAAAAAAAAAAGATATATAATATAGGTGTATACATGATAGATAGATAGATTAATGGGATTTATTTTAGATGTCATGGAGGGTATTCATTTCTCATTCAGTATAGCTTAATTTCCCTGGTAGTTTTTAGTTTGAATCTAAGGAAGGGAGCAGTGTGCAAAAATTACCCTCTTCTATTTTATCGAAATAAATCTGAACTTCCATATCCATTCTTACTTTGTGGTCCCCCTTTTCCTTACAGTTCATTGGTCACTGGTCTAAAATGACAAAGGGGCAGAAGTATTGACTTGAAAGGTTGGATTGTGTTTGAACACGACAGAAATAGTCTTATGGGTGGTAGGTAAGTCTTTGGCTTACAGGACGGGAAATTACATGACTCATCACATAATTTGCTTTCTACAGCACAATCCTATCATAAAGCACCTAGTAAACGTCTTAGTTATCATAGATGGAAGGACAGTCCTATCAAAAAGGTCCAGCACAATATCAAATAACCATGGGCAACGCAGGGACATCTTTTGCAGAGATCTGTTTTAATGGTCATACTAGAGATAAATCAGGCATTTGGGACAAGAGACAGTTCCAAATAAGGTCAGGCAGAGAACAGGGTGCCCTCCACTAGGGAGGTAGTGGGGGTGGAGGGACTCCTCCATTTGCCAAGCTCACAGAGTACTTCCAAGCTGTGGAAGACTGAAAGCTTCAACCAGTTGGGCCTCCCAATATCTATTCACATTTACTATATAAGACTTGAGCCCCAGAGTTTGATGTGTATGCATTTGGAATTGTTATTATTGAATCATTTTACCTTATGACTTGTTTTATCTGTTTGATTCATATTTGTTCAGATTCTAATGTAACAAATATCAACAGAGCTGTGCCAGCTTGGTTTTGGGCCCCCGTTCCCTTGCTAGATTTGCTTTCATCTTTACCCCCAGCACATGTATATTGTTACCAGTTAGATGTGTTTCCTGGGGAACACAGACAGTTGGATACAGTTTTTAACTTGGTTTAAAAATATGTGTGTCATTTTTGCTTTATTGTGGTCACATATGATTATTAATATATGCTTATTAATTTCTATCCTTTTTTGAAGTTTCTTGGTGTATTAGATTTTTGTTAGTAGTCTTTTCCTTTGTCCTTGCTCTTTAAATGTATTGGAGTTAATGACTTGCAGCATTTCAATACTCATATCTTTTTCCTAGTAATCATTATTCATCTACTCTTCTCTTTCCACTAATATTTTGTCTGTGCTCTCATGATTGAGATGATCTTTCCATTTTGTGTGCATATTATTTTGATAGTGTATGTGTATGAAGGTAAATGTGGGAATGGGTGTTTGTAAGTATGAGAGACAGAGATTAAAGCATAAGGTAGACAGGAGAAGAAAATACAGCAGGAAATGTAATGAGAAATGGGGAAGTTTAGCACATATGGTCAAATATATGATATACTGGAAAAAACTGCTCTTAAGAAAATTGTTTATAATGAATTTAGATTAATGCATGGATCTAATCTATATGGGAAATAGAAAAGGAAAAGATCTTCTGAGTAAATTTGGATCATGGGAACCTTGGGAGAGGGTTGAAGGTTAAGGAAGGGGCATGGAGTGGAGCAGAGAAAAATTTAGAGATCAAGAAAAATCAATTAAAAAAGATTTTAATGGGCAGCATAATGGTTCACATTCAAAAGACACTTGACACCAATCCTGATGTCAAACCTGTTTTATCCCCAGAACTTGAATGAAAAAATGACAAACAAGTCCAAGTTGTTCTCTAAACTTCACAACTAGGCCATGTCATATACACCTAGAAAAATATATACACTTAAACACAACACACAAATGCACACTCATATTGACACAGAAAAACTTAATCAACTAAAATTTAGTAAAAAACCAAAATAAAAAGGAGAAAAAACAGGTACCAATAAGGAAATAAGAAACTACTCTAGAATCTGGATAAGTAGGAAAAATACTTTCCCACAGCTTCCAAAAAAAAAAAAAATACAGTTTGTCGTCATCACTTCAGCCCAAAGAGTTATGATGGACACGAGAACTGAACTATAGAAAGATAAATCCTTCATATTCAAGTAATAGAGTTTGTGGTATTTTATTACAGAAGGAAAAGAAAGACAATACTGAGTTCTCCTCTGCATTTTCAAGTAAGGATTTTCATACCAAACATGAAGAGACATTGAATCTATTATAGCTTGCTTGACTCTGACAATGTTTTGAACTTAGTTTCAAGCTCACTGTCTCCTAGGCAGAAGGAAGAAGTGTACATGTGCAAGGCAGCCTGTGGTGCAGGCAGCTGTTGAAATTCTCAGAAGTTTTTGTTGGAGGCTGAAGCACTGTGGGAGGATACTCATAAGATTGCATACAGTAATAATCTGCCAGATCTTCAGCCTGGACACTACTGATGGTGAGAGTGAAATCTGTCTCAGATCCACTGCCTATGAAGCGATCAG